TGTGTTGGAGGAGGGGCTCTGTAAGGAAGTGGCAGATTTTCTCCAGTTGTGTATTTTCAAATTATAGCGCACTCAAGCTGGTTTCTCCAAAATTACCTACCCCACCTTTAAGCGAGTTTTGTTGAGTCTTGTTAGACTCTTTTAAGATCAAAGTGTCACAAATAAAGATTTAGATCCTTTTTTATCACCTCAATGAATCATCATTCAACAATAGAAAAAAAAACACCACTCAAGACGTTTGATGTTGTTTCTACTCTCTCTCAGTCAGGTCACATAAAGATGATGTTAGAGCAAGAGACACCAAAGAGCTTTGGGTAATGTAGGAAAATTCAAATGGACATTATCGAGGCTGCTTTGTTTACATACATATTTTCCTGAGGAGTTAGTGGAGACCAAAACAGAGATTAAAGTAGAGAGGATTTAGGATTCACATTATTGTGTACAAAAACAACCCCATATGAATGATAATGTTGCTCTGCTGGATCTGTAAATGGGCAAACTGTTTGCCAACAGGTTCACCATATCAATTTATCAGGTGAAAATGTGAGTGGAGTATTTTTGCCCTTTTAATTGCCCAATATATTCAATTATAGTAGGTATAAATATGGTTTTATAACCATCAGTGGCGGAGGACCCATATTTTGGTTAATATTGCACTGTAAAAATACTCAAATAGAGCCAAATGTGTACTTATGGCTAATTGCAATGTACAGTTACAAATAACGTGGAGCATACACGGGATATAAGAGCAACTTCATGAAGGAAATCTCAAACTTACAGGTGTGTCACAACATGCTTGGCCTGCTATAGCTCTGTGCCGCATAGTTCATTTATTATTGTACACATATTTAAAATCTCTGCACACCCACGCTGGTATTTTCAGTTACTCTTATAGCTCCAGTCAGGTGGAAGCTGGGTGGAGCAATGATGGGAAATACCAAACTCTATGTACCAATAATGATGATAAGAACACACATTTTCCCACCATAACAGGTGCTACAAAACTAAGAGATGGGAAAAACGGTTCAACACTTGCACTAGTTCCTCTTTATGTGGCCGCAGGTTCCTGCAGCAAGTTCCTCATACGTGTTCTCGTCCTAAATAAAAAACTAATTCAGAAGAGCCGTTTGTATTACATTATTTCCCAATCAGACGGCAATCATGTCAATACGATCGGCCCTTTGAGGAAGTATTACACAGTCTCACAATCAAAGCTTGCCTCTTTGTACAGGAGCCGTTAGAGAATGAGGAATTTAGTGTTGTGAAACCAATTAAACTGCGTTTTACACATATCACAAGATGTTCAGTTAAACTTGTGTCCCACAGATCAAGTGTAACCCTTTAAATGAGGGGTGTAAGCATGGATATGAATATTTGATGAGACGCAGAACAATGGCCTTTTGAATGGAGATAGAAGATTATCACACAGACGCACTTGATTGCAGCTGCTGTAACATCGACGCAAAAACGATATTTTACTACATTTATGTCTAAAATGCGAAAACAGACAACATAAACTGTAAACTGAAACATTTGCTGGGTGTCGTCCTGCTTCAGTTACGCTGTTATAATAAAGTCATTTCAAACTGCTCTCTTAAGTCGTCTGGATATTTCTTCATCTGATTTCTCTCACAGTCATGTCTGCAGAATTCCTCCCAAAATGCCTTGTGTTGTCTGGCTCACTGAAGCTCCAGACCAAGAGGAGCGAGGAAAGCCAAAGCACATGAAGAACCTATTAGGGGGCCTATAGCAGTCAGCAGCAGCCCTGGGAGGCCAGCCAACTCAGTGTGTGAACAATAGGGAACCCAGCTCAACAAAAACATCCTGCAGAAGTGAGAGACTGGGAGGGAGAGAGGAAAGGACGAGCGGGCGAGCAGCGAGCCCCTTCGGACCGCCACGGCATCAAAACATCTAACTCTCCTGGAGTCTGGATCCGACAAATCAAATGCATCAGAACATTTGAGGTCAGTGATGGTTCAGCAGCAGCTCAGAAAGAAACAGCTGCTTCAATAATAACAATAACTCTTTTTTTTCCCCGAGAATTTAAATCCAGCATCACACTGAAACGAAAACTCCCAAACCACAAACTGTTGTTTAAAGCACATTTCTAACCCTCATTGCTCAAACGTTTGCAGCAGGACGACACCCAGCAAATGTTTCAACACCAACAGGTTGGACATGCAGGAAGACGTATTGTAGTGTCCCTTTTCCCACGACCCTCCCACTGTCGCGCAATATCAGTTGCAACGCAGCATTTCAATGAAACGGTGAAAACATGACTCAATGAGACCTTTAAACTCAGATATATAGGTGTTGAGACATATAACCAATAGAGTCTTCCGCCTTTATAGGTTTAACAAGTAATATAGAAGAAAGAAATGACTGCAAATGTTCATTTAAAGGCTTCACTTCACTCATAAGCTTTTGTTTTTTCATGAAATTGGAAACACTAACACAGTATTACTTGGCTCAAAATGAATCATTGTGTTCCACTTTTTTTGACTCATGGCCAGTCAGATAAAGTGTGAGTGGTTTAACAGTTCAACCAACCATTTTTAGGGTCGTTTCACCATCACAAGTACATCTTTTACAAGAAAGATCACAAATTGACATGAATGTCCACCTTTAACAGTGTTTTTTTTAGTAGTGGTACACGGCTTATGGGAAGGGGTTAGTGACGTGAAAGATCATTTGAGGGAATTATTATAAATGAATGATTGAAAGATACATTCAAGTGTGTGCAAAAGCAGGTTGTTAGCATTGAGCTGAATTGCGGCGCAGAGCTTGGAAAGAGAGCACAAGAGAGGAGTGTGTGTTGGAAAGTTTTTGAGTGTGTGGGGGTAACATAAAACCAGCTCTCCCACAACACACACAGGGGAGGGGACCCTTCTTTAAACTGAGCCTACCCACAATGCACCGGGCTCTTTTATCCTGGCAGTGAAAGGATGAGGCCAGATGAATGACAAAGGGAGAGAATGGGGATCTGGGTTGGGCCCGGCTTGGAAGACAGGGAGGGAGTAGAGAGAGAGAGAGAGAGAGAGAGAAGGGGTGTGTTTCCCAAACCAACCTTTTCTATGAAATATGCAGGAGGGGGGAGGCGGGAGAAGGAAGGGGGGGGGGGGGGGGGGGGGTGTAGCTTTCTACTTAGGAGATGAGGAAGAAATGTATGCATACACAGAGAGTTTGAGTTTAATGATTTCTTTACTGGCTTGTACACAAACGTACAAAAATAATACAGCACTCATCTCCACATGACGTCACGTCATCATCACAGTGTTACAAACGCTCAAAAAATAAAAGAATACAAACTAAATCAAACATGATGGAACATCTGCATCACTCATGAAAAGAAATCAGCCGTTTCCTCTCGCTTGAAATGAAGCGAGACCAGGAAACACAACTTGGTCCAAAGAAGTCATCACTTTTTTTTTTCTCTTTAAAAAAAAAAATCATCTCACTCATGTACACCAACGGCGGCTGGCTCCTTACGTCATAAATGTTATGACCCTGGTAAGCCAAACAACCACACAACCGTGCAATTTTTAATCATGTTACAATGATCTTACCATCAAATGTATTATTCCCCTTTAAAAAAAAACAGGAAGACAGCACTTCAGAAAAGAAAGTGCCCCAAGATATCATCATCATCAGCGTCGATATATATATATCCATATGTATATACATACACCCAATCACAGAGATACACGCATCTTTGTTAAAAAAAACATCATGTTCTTTCCACAAAGTAACACACACATTAGGACATTATCACCTGGAGCATATATTTATACAATAGTATTTTGTTGTGTTTGTTTTTTTTTCTATTCAGAAAAAAATTAAATGTTGACACATAAAAGCCAACTTTTTCAACAACAGTCATCAGTGCAATATTCGAAACAAAAAAAAACAAAAAGGAAAAAACATCAAGTTTAAGACAAGCGATGCATATTTAATTTGTTGCCTGATACCAATGTATACCATGATGAAGTGGATCTAGAATCGCTTCAGTTTACTTGTGGTTATTCCAGGTTTAAAATGGGAAGTTTCAACAACACCAAGCCCCTCATGAGACGCACACAATCACACTTAAAAAAAACACACTCTCTTTCAAAAGCTTCTCATGTGGTGACCCGGTGCTGCTGTGACTTGAGCAGTAAAAAAACAAAAACATTTAACATTTAAAAACTAAAAAAGAAACATACAAGCAGCATTGATACAAATGTTAGGGTGCCATGACTTTCTAAATGCAGCAGGCAAGTTGATGAAACCAATTTCCTTTTCTGTGACTTCCTGCAATAGTCATGTGGTGTTGTGTTTTTTAATTTTTTTTAAGTCTTCATCGTCCAACAGTATTAGGGTCCTGCTCAGTAGTAGTAACTATTCCAAAGCCTTGGCTCCTGCAGTTACCCCGTAAAAACACTGGGGGCGCACAAGGCTCCGCATTTTTGTGCAATAAAACTCCCTGCATTTATAAGTCATGCGATACAATTCCATTTTTTTTTTGTATGACTGGAAAAGATGAAGACAGAAAGAGAGGAAAAAGTGGAGGTTTATAGGGAAAACAATGGCAGTGTGTGAGAGACAGAGACTCCCTTGCAGAAACGATGCATTGCTTGACAGAATTGGTTTGGTTGTAGTGTAAAATAAACTGTCCCGTCTGAGGATGCAGGAATGGGGTCTTTGCATCTTCTGTAATGAAGTCCATCTGTCTATTATAGGCTACAAAAAAAACAAAAAACATACTGGCATGTGGATGATCACAGACACATTGTGAATGTCTCCTCAGACTCCAAACAACGTGGCAGAGTGGTGAGAACAACTTGAGAATACTTTATAGTCGAGGTAGCTGGCAAAAGGCAACCAAACAAAGTCCTTTTAATGGGAGGAGGAGAGGGGAGGGGGGGGAGAAAGTCCTCTTGAGGGTCAACAGGCTTTAACAGAGGGGTTTTTTGGGTGGGGGGGGTGAGTATTTGGAGGGGGGGGGGGGGGGGGGGGGGGGAGTGGCAGGTCTACCTCCACACGGGACAGTTTATACTACGAGTCTGAAGCAGCTTGAGTCACCCTAGATATTCTGACACTTTTGTTAAAGAAGAACCACAACAACAAAAAAATGCATCTTCTCAATGTACCTTCATAAATAAAATAAAAACCCAGCCTGCTTTCACAGTGATGACTAGGATGTTAATAAAATACTGAAAGGAGATTATAAAGTGATTTCCAAATGCGACTTTTTTTTGATACAAAGCGAAAGCAGCGGTTTCTCTCTCTTAATAACACAATGACCAAAGGTCGCAACTGGCCTGACAAGTTGGACGCCAGCTAAGATCTGCATGAAGAGCGCATTCAGCTACTTTTTTCTCTTAAAAAAACAAACAAAAGTAAAGCTATTGTGTACAGTACTTCACAACAATGATGGAGTCCCTTGTTGTTACATGATTACACATCTGAAAGCGTGTTGGATAGCCATAATGCCGCTCTTTGAGTAAAACAAAAAAAGTTAAAGAAAACAGACCTCTGGTAGCCAACAGAGGGCAACCCTTCTTCTCTTGTTCCTGTGTCTTCCCTTTCAGATATTCCAGCATGCAGCCATAGAGCATCAAGTGCCGTGTTTCATATAAAATAACTTAAAAAGGGTTTTTACAAGTGAACAATGAGGAGCAACAGTCTCCCCCCCCCACCCCTCCCCACAAAGAAACTATTCAACTGTATAACCGGGGATGGGAGGTCATGGATAGAAAAAGAAACTGGGCCATCTGCACTCTGGAGTCCAAACACACACATGTGATACACACACACACACTGGCTTCTTTTATAGTGGACGACAAGATCTAGTATACACATTCAAGTGGAAAGCTTTAGTACCAACAAACTCACCAAAAATTGCGTTTTTTTTTCTTTTGTTAAAAAGATTCGTGTTGTAGCTGTGTGTGGAGCATGAGGTGCCTCACTCAGGAGTGCAGAGAGGACCCCGTTTGGTTTACAATGAGGGAAGATTATTGTGCAGGTCTTTTTATTTCCTTTTTTTTTTTAAATATAATTTGGCACAACTATGAAGATATTGGCAGTTTTTTTGTGTTGCTTTTACAAGAGCCTGGCTTTCCCGTGTGTTGCAGTTTTATTTTCCACTTGTTGTTTTTTCTTGTTTTACCTGACAGCAGAGACATATCACCGGGCGCCAGAGGAGTACTTGGCCTTGGTGATGAGGTATAGCACAATGTCTTGGTGGCCCCCGAAGGCGGCGATGTGTAAAGCGCTCCACCCTTCCCTGTTGGCCAGCCGGATGTCTGCACCAAACTTCACCAGCAGTTTTACCAGCTCCAGGTTGCCGTCAATGACAGACTGGTGCAGGGCCGTCTGCCCTTCAGGCCCGAAGGAGTTGACGTTGAACTCGCAGTTTGTCATGTTCTGCAGCAAAGAGTGCAGCTCCTTGGTGTTGCCCTGCTTCACCGCCTCCTGGAAAACCCTCTGCGGCGCGGAGCAAGTCGAAACATCCGCCTGGCTCATGGTTGCAGCTCTCTGGAGGGTGGGGGGGAACCAGTAATCCTGCCCGGGCTCTAAAGCTGATAATAATCGTCCTGTTGAGCGTCTCTGGTCTGGTGACAATGCCACAGTTAAACTGGATTACAACCAGTTATTAAGGCACTTTAAAGTACTAAAAGATCACCGTGTATATCCCAAAAAGGACAAGAAAGGAAATAACACACTTGGTGTGCAAAAATGTTAATATTGAGAGATCCTGAAATCCCTAAAACATAAAAAGGGTGCGATCCAGGGTTCTGTAGACGTAGTTCCCCCTCCGTGGCAGCAGCAGGTAGCCTGTAGCAGGGGATGGAGACACCTCCGACTTCTCTTGGGGAAATTGGAAGTATGGTCACTATCTCCACGGGGCAGGTTTTCCTTAAACACTCCGACCTGATTCCCAGCTACACGTCCCGGCTGTGTCGCTGCTCATGTGGCCAGGGGGTCTGCGGAAGACAAGAGAAAAAACATCCGAATGAGTCCCGGTTGCGAGAGACCCCACATTCCGCCACATCCAAGAGTGCGAGAGGAGACCTCCGTGCGCACACGTTTACGCACAGTTACACTGCTTGATATTTGCCACTAAATTACTAGAAAATGTGAGCCGCTGCAGATTTGGGACTTACCTGTGACAGATGGACGGGTCCGAAGCGACGAAAATGATACAAATCCACCGTGGGGCCCGGGCTGTGTCCTCCTCGCGGTCCGTGTGAGTCTCTGCCCTGCGCTGCGCTCTGGGGGAATATTTTACGCGTCCTCTATTTGCATGACAATGCCATCCCGAAGAATCAACTGTGGAGGAATGGGCGGAAACGCGGGGAGGTTATAGGCTGCCGGCTCGGTTAGGGGGAGGGACCGGGCCCCTGTGAATCTGCGGGGAGGAGGCGGGGTCTTCCGAGGAGGGAGCCAAACGTTGCTGCTGCAGAAATATTAAACAAGCCGCCCGCAGCAATGGTGAGCTCTATATCCGATCTCCTGTAGCAGACCCAGGAAGCTCTGAAAGCCAGAGGCATGGAGCTGCCGGGGCTGTAAAATGCTGAGAGAGCGGGCACGTTGTAAAGGATCATCCGCTGGATTAACATCAACAGGAACTCCGCACAAAAAGTCAATCAAGCCTCTTCATGTCTCAGTGACAGCCAGAGAATAAGACAGGATTTCATTCATGTGAAAAAAAGTGTGCTGAAAATAAACAAAATAGCACATTTATTTTTAAATAAGAACTAAATTGATGAAAAAACTAATATTTGGTTTCATTTTTTCTGTCACAACAGGTGACAGTTGAAGAAAACTTCACTTGATTCCCTCTTGATATTGAGAAAATGTTTAACTTCATAAAAGGAAAAGGTTATAGTTTCTGGACTTTATAACGTGAGAAGACATGGTTGATTGTAAAAAAACAACCATCTTGGTGGTTTTCTTTTAAATAGGGGGTACTTGGACTCATTAACACCTTTTTATGTTAAATTGGGCCAGAAAAGGGGCTGATAATGACACGCTGTCCAGGGGAGGCTCGGGTTTATGTCTTGCTATTACGTGGCCCGAATTATCTGTAATTTCACTAAAACACTCACTGTCAAAACACAACAGGGATTTTTTTTGCACAAATATGAAATAAAAATGGGCAGAACGCTGGACCCTGACTTTGTTCTTCTTCTGCGTAAATGCTATTTAAACCCCAGAGGCTATCCGTGCAGTTAACGCTGAAATAAAGAGTTTTATTCTCCATATGGTTAGGGCTCAAGGGAGACATATAAAAGTAGCATTTAACAGCGTATGTCTCAAGTGTGAACCTGTATATATATATATACAGTCTATGGTGTGAACGCATCTTAAACCTCAAAGACTGTGATTACCTCCGAACTAAATGGTAACGACAGTAAATAGAAAAATCCCAACCGCTCCATCTCAAAACACACCCTGGGGAGGAGATTATAGGTGGCTGTTTGAATCATAAACTGCGGATATATTCCAGTTGTTTTAGACTGTGGGACTTCGAATAACAAAAGCCCCTGCGCTACTTCCTTTTTGCAAGTGAAAGAGGTGACGCTGTGCGCAGATTGACACGCCGCTCAGCTTCCCCCACCACCGTGGGAACTGGGTGCCTGTGTGTGTGTGTGTGTGTGTGTGTGTGTGTGTGTGTGTTTTTTTTAGTGTGTGAAAGGCAACCTGAAGGTGGTGAGAGATATTGATAGATAGACTCGGAGTTTGACAGAAAGAATACATGAGAAAGTCACAGAGCTGCGTGGATGGGAGTAAAAAAGAGAATACTGTGAAAACCACAGCAGGTACATCTCAGCGTCCCCCGGGGCGTCTGCACCGTTTGGCGGACCGTAAACCTTATCTCATCTGTGCTACGCTTTATAAACCGCTCTGATGGTTTGGTGGCTTTCACACTGTCCTCGTTTTCCCACACTCTGAACTGTACATTTGGCGCACGTCTGTGGCCGCATCTGTCTATGTGCATATGTGCGTCAGTCAGCGTGAGAGACATGCAGCAGATCACACAAATGAAGGTCACAACCTGTTTTGTATAATCTAACACAACAGGAAGGCTAAATATTAATGATCACATTCAGCAGTTACATACAGAAATATTTTTTATTGGAGCCAAGTACATTATTTCTAAAGCTGTCATGGACCTAACACACTCATACAATTCTGTTAATTACACTTTAAATAGTGTATTTACCAGAGCTTTACTTAAAGGTTCTTGGAGATAAGCCAGTTAGCATGAAACAAACATTTACAAATGTCTAATTGACTGAATAAACTTTAAGTCAACTATGACAAAAAACTGCATTTAGTCGACTAAGAGGGACAGACCTAATGACTTCTTAATCACATTTGGAGTGCATTACCATGGTCATGGGTAACCTTTGTTTTAGACTTTGGTTGGCATGTGTCCATTAAGTTGTAGCACTTTAAACATATAGTTCAAGTACAGACTCTTAATCAATACACACATTATAGAAACCAGAGCTGGTACAGGTAACTGTCTTACTTATCAAATGTGTCTGTCTATTTTATCTATAAAGAATGACAAGGGAACATGTAAATAAACTGGATTGCTTAGTTCCATTATTTCTACACCCTTGGGAGCATCATGGCACACAACTTTTGCCAAGTTTGGTAAGGTGTTGTATACTGTACAAACTGTACAGCCTTAAAGGAAAATCTGTGACTTTAGGCTTTTTAAATGGAGTCGACTTGACTTTTACCTATGACAAGGTGAGTGAAGTGCTAATGTTGCTATTTATGCTAACATACACTCATCCAACTGTTGTTTTACTGTTGGCCTGATGTTCAAACCAATGGACTTTAGCCAAACACCTGCCAACAAATGGGAAACACGTAATTCTATTTTATAATCTCAGATGTGTCAGATTAGTTGAAATGTGGCAAACAATTTATGTGATTCATTTGTTTTAGACAGACTGTTTTTGAAGTTTTGTTCCACTGCAACAAGTGGCCCACAGCTGCAAATGTTCTAAAACAAAGACTGTGGCTCTGACTCATTGATAGAAATGTGGTGAATACCTAACTCCGACCCCTTACCGTAGGCTACACTAACAGATGTGTGTTTTCCTCTCTCCATGCTTCATATGACACATCATGGACCTGCATGTGCACACTGGAGTTTAGTTCAAACAACTCAAAGTACATTAGGAAATGTTCAAAGGTTGTGGGTTATGGTTGCGTATTAAGATTTGGTATTTTAGGATCACTAAAAGTATTTATTACATGTGTTGTATATATATGGGATTTTTTCTTCTTCGGTTTAGTGAATGGTGCGGAACATCTTCTGGAAAATCAGGAACATCTGTTGGCTATCAGAGCTTTGGCTGCAGTGTGTCTGGACACTTGGAAAACATTTGCACAGACCGCAGGAGCCAAAAGTTTCTCTGACTGGATGAGTTTCTCCTCCAAACTCTGTGGCATTTGCTCTCCTCTCTTTGCCCCCCCCCCCCCCACCCCAACCGCTGCTCCTGAGTCTAATGTGTGTCTGGGAAGCAGCCAAGAACAGATACAATTATGAGGCTTTGTACACTTTAAGCAGTGATAAAGTACTTATTTTACAATCTCTGATTTTCTCTTTGACAGGTCTAATTATCAACACAGCTTTGTTAAGACTACCATTCAGTTTACAGTGAGCAATGGAGCATTCCATGCGTGCGTAAAAAGCGCAGTCATTTTTTGCAATAAACGACGTCCAAATAATATTTTTTAAAGCGTTATCGAAGAGGTTTTGTGGAGTCAGTGCTGGTGGTGACACAAAGATAAAACAAGTCTATTCTGGTTCTATTATTGCAGCCATATCTCTGTTCTATTGCTGTGTGTTGATAAACAAGTCGTGTTTTTTTCCCTGCGACATAGACGGAGCCCAGATTGGTGCAGTGTTGTAAACCGAGCGCCGGGCAGATCGGTGCGCTGCGCCGAGATTTGGCGCCGAGAGCCGGGGCAGCAGGGGCCAGACGAGACGGGAGGAGCCTGTTGAATGCGGGTCGCCTGAGAGGGGAGTCCGGATCGGAAAACTCACACACTGGGACACATGGAGGAAAACCGTCATGTAAAAATGTCGGTTTTTTGGTATCATTACGCCTTACATTCATGCCAGAAAGCATGTTGAGAGAGAGAGAGAGGTGACGTTTTACCGGGAGAGGGAGGGCCTTCTGAATCCAATTCATTCCGGGCACCACGTGTCCTCAGAGCGTGGGAAAGAGGCGAGCTTTTCTTCCCAGCAAAGAAAGAGCAAGGATCAAATAACACGGTGCTGCAGCAGAAAGCTCGCGCTCTGCGCAGAGGCAGGGGCTGCGACCACCCGGACAAGGACAGGACAAGACACACAGAGGGGCTTATTTTGGGAGCTAGGGTGTCGATTTTACTTATTGAGCAATAAAAATACTTCAGGGTGGATTAATGTTACTGTAGTTATTATACAGTCTTCTTAAAAAAAAGAGAAAGCGCAAGGCTCCGTGCCAAGATTTTTGTATTCCTGGAAGTATGAAGAAATAGGTGATACAACTAACTTAGGCAACTTGTTCAACCCTTATTTGCGGATGGAGACTTTTGTTTTGTTTACCTTTAATGTTAGATTCAGGACAGTCTCTCCTCGCGATTTATTTCCGAAGCATTCTGCTGCTGGCAACATCATGCATCCAGTTTATCAGCAACCTCTTCCAAACCTGAAAGTCTGAAATTGAAATAATTAAATAAACTGCTGAAAATCTGTTTCCCTTTTCTAAGTGCTTAAATTAAGAATTAATACAATTGAACTGCATATTTTGTACAACTATTAATGTGATTAGTCTGTCAGTTTTTTGGGGGGGCATTTCTTTGTGTATGGTGCCTTGTTACTACCAAAGTTGGTAAAATGCCAAATATTACTAAAACAGGATTGTCTAAATTGGTTAAACTATTACATTTAGGAATAACTGAAAAACATCACATCATGACTTTAGGTTACAATGGTCAAAGTCGGGTCACATTTTTTGTATTTGGTACCTTGTTAGAAAGTGGTATTAAAGTTGCTGAAATGCCTCTCAAACCTATACAGCTCACAAGAGAATAACCCTTAATATCTTCAACTAAAACATTCAAGATTAGCTCATAAACATGGCGTATTATTGCAGGATGGAATTGTTTGAGACCCTTAAGTCATGTCTGAGACAGTAATCCACATGATCTCTTTTTCCAGGACAGTTTCTGGTTAAGACATTACATTTACCTCCGACATATGAGCAGGTCCGGATCACCCAGCATGCACTATAATACAGTGAACTCAATATACACTCACTTTTACAACATTATTCTTTAGAAGCGACAATCATTA